GGGTGATCCGGTTTAGTCCACATTCATTGAATGTGAAATTCTCTGAATTTCACATTCAATGAATGTGAAATTCTCTGAATTTCACATTCAATGAATGGGTTACCTTCACCCACACGGTGTCGTCTTTGCTCCAGCCATCAATTTAAGGAGAGCTAAATTAAATAAATTGACAAATAGCCTAAAAAATGAACATCATATATAACTGTGGTAAAGTCATATTTCTGCCACTTTTCCCACAACTGAACGTGAATAAACTGCCAATGGGCGCAAACACTGAATTATTTGTAAGTAATGATTAATTATATTATCTATTTATTTTTTTATTTAAATAAAGCCTTGTTAAACTATTTGGGGGGATTTTTCAGGCTATAGTGTTGAGAATTGTGATGAGTCCAACTGTAGAAAAAGTTGATTTACATTGAACTTTATAGCTGGGTCTGTTGTCACCACAATGACGTCACTAAGCTATTCAATACATGTAAAATCCTTCAAATGCATTTACTGTTTCCAATTTGAACTATTCTACATAAAATAAAATAAATGAATAATAATAATCGTGCAAAAGGATTTTGCACGATTATTATTATAATCCTCACAAGTCCACGAGAACACAAGTACAGACAAATATATTTATTTATTTATATTTATATTGTCAATACAGACAAGAACGCATAATGAGAAAGGCCCTTAAAACCCATCATGTTTCCTGCAAGTCAGCGTCGAGGTTTTTTTTATTTTTTTAGAGCTGTTGGTGACGTCATCACTGTGCGTCCTCTGTCCTCAAACAACGCTCGCATTCCGTGTAATTCGGTGATCCTGATCAGGGGGTTGCGGTTTATGTTGTTGCCGTTGAATCTCTATCTTTTTCAGTGAATATACTTTGTAGTTGATTGCTAGTTTATTATATTTCAAACATGGAGTCCGCAGAGTCTGGCGCTCTGTCGGCGGCGCAGAGGAGGGCAGAGATCCGGAGGAGGAAGCTGCTCATGAACTCAGAGGACAGGATGAACAGGATCGTGGGCTTCACCAAAAACGAGTCTGAAAACAACGGTATGACGTCATGACCGATCCCGGTTTCACACCTCATCGATGCGAGTATTTTTCTTCTGCTTGCGACGCGTGGTCGTGACTGTCACACGCCTCGTCTTACTGCTGTTGTTGTTTTGAGCTACTAGTCAGCACATTACCATCGTGCACATTTCAGTATTCATGTTCAGAATGAACACTGGTGTAACGTAAAATGCTCCATATTCAGGTCTATACTTTACTTGATTTTATTCTATTTTTATGCAGCTTTACATTTATACTCGCTCTACTACACATCAGAGTCAAATATTTGATGCTACTTTTCTTTTTTACTCCACTACGTTTGTCTGACAGCTGCAGTTACTTTTCAGTTTACAATTTTCACCTTCCTGTCCAGTGAAAAACACGCATCTCTACGTCTGGGTAGAATATGACCACATCTGGGTAGAATATGACCACATCTGGGTAGAATATGACCACATCTGGGTAGAATATGACCACATCTGGGTAGAGTAGGATCAGATCTGAGTAGAGTAGGATCAGATCTGAGTAGAGTAGAATCAGATCTGGGTAGAAGATCTGGTAAGAATAAGACCACATAACAAAACAAACAATTTGGATACACCATCAGCTGACTTTAATTTTTTTTAAATAAAAGATCAATAAAAATAAGAAAGAACAAATGGCTATAGATAACATCTGTCCATTCAAGTTCTCAATGTAACCAATCAATATTTAACAACTAATGGACTTTCAGCTCTAGTTGAATCTGCTGTTGTCCTGCACCCTCAGCTGGGGCGCTCCTGCGTCCAGCAGAACCCCACTTCCACCTCGATCTCGACCGGACGGAGCCGTGGTCGTCGTCCTCATCCTCCCAGAGACCGTCTCCCTTCCCGCCAGAGGCCTCGGGCTTCGGTAGCCGCTCCCACGGTGCCACGCCAGAGAGGAGGGGCTCACCGCTGCTGGGCTGCAGCGAGCCGCCAGGAGGCTCCCTGGAAGACGACACCGGGGGGATCCGACAGAGGCCGAGAGGGGAGCGGGCGCCGGACGACCTCGGCGGCTCCCCGCGCCAAGGCCTCCAGAAGTACCTGTCCCGTTTTGACGATGCCATGAAACTGCGGGGTCAGCTGGCCAACGAGAAGCCGGCCGAGGACGGAGCGTCCGAGGCCGAGGAGTTTGATCCCTTCAGAATCTTCCGGATCATCGGCAGCGTCCTCCTCGCGATTTTCGTCCGGGGTTTTGTCTGCAGGTTTCTTGTGAGTCTCGTATCAACCCATATTCATTAATAATGCATCTGACTACCAGAAACATGATTTTCTTCTGTGTAATTCTTTCATTCCAGTCAATATTTGCTCCGTTCCTGACCCTCGAACTGGCCTACATGGGCCTGTCCAAATACTTTCCAAAGGTGAGTTTGTATTAGATATTTTATGAGCCCTCTCCCAGTGTTAGACTCACATTTAACCTGTATGCAGAGAGTTTAACATGGATTCTTATATGTTAGCCATGATTTACGATGATCAATGTGAAGTTGGAGGTGTTGCTGTGGAAAACATGTGACATGCATGATTTTGATAAAAGGTAAAAGTTACTGTGAGGCACTTTTAACTGGTTATGAAACAGTCTCAATTGAATAACCCACCGGGTCGGATTCAGCGCAAAATCAGCTGAAATCATGCAGGTTCACCAGAAACTCCTTCAGCTCAGACTCCAGCAGAGACCAGCCCACCGTGGACAGACCCAGTAAAAGGGATGGGGAACCAAAACCAGGACTGCGAGTAGCAGACTGTCAGACTGTCAGACCTGTGCTGCAGTAAAATGAGAGGTTTTCTAAAGGGACTCTGGTGCTCGGAAACACTACCAGTTTCGTCCACAGGGACCAACAAAATCTACACAAAATTAAACTTTAAGTATGGTTTTGTCGTAATTACAGTTGGCTAATGTTGCACTTTTTATCTTGGCCAGTTCACAGTTTCTCACAAGACTTGGCATTAGTTTTGACAATGTTTGGGTCCCATCTACACATGACTTAATGTTGTCGCTCTGACTTACCATGCGTCCTCGTGTCTTTGCATTGTGCTCCTCTTCCTCCAGGTAGAGAAGAAGGCTCAGACCACCGTGCTGACAGCGGCCCTGTTGCTGTCCGGCATCCCGGCCGAGGTCATCAACCGCTCCATGGACACATACAGGAGGATGGGCGACGTCTTCGCCGACCTCTGCGTTTACTTCTTCACCTTCATCCTCTCGCATGAGATCCTGCTGCTCGTTGGCTCGGAGACCCCCTCCCCTGATGGACTGCCAGGATCTCAGTAAAACCCCCTCCCCCCTGTCTTGTCGTCCCCCTCCCTCTGTCTGCCAACGAGTCCTTGCTGCCTTATGATCAGGGTCGTGCGTCCAGGATTCCCCTAATGCTAAGCTACATGCGACCAGAGATTCTAGAGAACGACAGCATGTGTTTGCTTGTGCGAAACAATGTACAGTGGCATTTATCGTATTTTTCGGGTGTAACAAATAGAAATAAATGTCATACTCACGGAGTGAACACAAGTACAGTTCATCATCGGTCTGGCAACCGCAGATTCAATTTAACTTACGAACGGGAAAAACACTGGCGTGAGCGATATTTCGCAGGCATTAGAAATATTCTGATATTGATGCATAGCCAATCAAACTGGTATTCAATGCAATGAGCTGTCTTTCAGTAACATGCATTACATCAGAGAAACACACGTGTAAAAACAGGGACTTTGAGGGGTCACTTAACACCAGGCTGAAAGTGTTCTTCCGTCCTCTCTCTCTCTCTCTGATTGGACGTTGTTGCCCCTGCAAACACGCCCAGCAGTGATGTCACGATGTACCGACACATCCTTGAGTACGCTTCTACATCACTCACTGCAGCACTGAGAAGTTAAACCAACAGAGGGTGGACGATATGCCGCATGCATACAGCACACACTGAGGAGTTTTATCGCTTCAGCCGACAACATTTACCAACAACACTGATTGGACATTCACATAAAAGGGGACGTTGTTCCTTTTTAAAATCTCAAGATTATGTAACTTTTGCTAACCTGCTACAAGCAGCCGTTACAGGAGCATGGTAACAGGCGAAGATGTATATTGCAACAGTAGCACAGGTTAGATCAATAAGTCAACCGGTTGACTAAAACATTAGCCACCATAAGACTGTCGCTGCAAAGTCTCTGGTCGTATTAAATTGCTGTTTTACTGTTTATGAAGTCAGCTTTTCATTTGTAAGAAAAATGTTATTTATTCTTTAAAATGACACAGTCTTGCTTTAAAAACCAGGTTACCTAAAAGCAGATCGCGTTAGCTTAGCAGCTAACAGGACGCAGACTCAGCTGGCGTCTGACTTTGAGCTTCGGGGCGTAACGTTCACATAACTCTGATGATGATAACCTGATGGATAACGGCAACCTTTAAAGGTGACACTTCATATAATTTGTAAGTCACAAAAAAAAAAATCCACCTCCTGACTTCAAAGTAAATTGACGACAACTTTTGGAGTGAAAAGGTTTATTGGGGCTCTTGAGCATCCGACCATTGTGGAGGTCCAACAAAAGGTTACCTTTTTAAACAAAAGTGTAATGACTCGGAGGTTTTCTTCTCATTCTTTTGTTAATTCTGAGCTCAAAAGATTTATTCTTTTCTTACACGTGGCCCTTTTCTTTGCAACATATAACATCAGCTAGAAAGAAACTAGAGAACTAGATACGGGACGTACAGTCAATGATTTGAGGACGAAAGACACATTTTTCTGGATCGCCTCAACCTCGAAGTGTGTCGTGTTTAGTGTGTCAAAGCGTTCGGAACAGTTACACACATGGCCCAACACCTTTCAGTTAGTTAGAGATTAAATAAAGATGTATTGAACAGTGGACCAGCTCTTTACCCTCGCGAGACTACTGGAGGGGTTCTGGGAGTTTGCCCAACCAGTCTACATGTGCTTTGTGGACTTGGAGAAGGCTTTCGACCGGGTCCCTCGGGGGTTCTTGTGGAGGGTGCTGCGGGAGTATGGGGTGCCGGACCCATTACAACGGGCGATCCGGTCTCTGTACGACTGCAGTAGGAGCTGTGTCCGGTGTTGGCCTCCGCCAGACGCCTCCCACTGGAGGTTTTCCAGGCACGTCCAACTGGGAAGAGACCCCGGGGAAGACCCAGAACACGCTGGAGAGATTACATCTCCCAGCTGGCCTGGGAACGCCTCGGGATCCCCCAGAATGAGCTGGAACATGTTGCCGGTGAGAGGGAGGTCTGGGTCGGCCTGCTTGACCTGCTGCCACCGCGACCCGATCCCGGATAAGCGGAGGAAAATGGATGGATGGATGGATGGATGATCTTATCCAGTTCCTGATGATTTTTATGAATGTTGTGACAGATTTCCTCATGGGCAGTGCTTTTATATCGTACATTCTTTTTGCGATCTGTCACCGAGCGTTCAGAAGGATCCACCCGTGTTATAAAGTCAGAGGAAGCATTTAGCCCTTGAATGTGGAGTGTATTATTTTTTTGCACGGCTATGAGCTTAAAGACGCAGTAAACTTCATACGGTATATGTAATGAAAAGTGTGACTTAGCGGGAGTGTTTTGGGCATTTAATTGTCGCTGCAAATAAATGCGGGGCAGTGGTTAGTTTGTGTTAGTTTGTGTTGAGTAATTCTGGTAATGTGTCCTGCTTTGCTTGTTTCGAGCCTCGTTCATATACATATGTCATATATACTCTCTTCTTCTGTGGTGTTCTCTCCATGCTTTTTGATTTCATCCAAATTAATTTATTAATGTGAATTTCTTTTTTTTTTCATGCAGGTGAATTGATGTGATTTATCCTGAGACTTGTCTGACCTACTTGATTGTTTTTGATAATGTTCACAGTATCTTACTTCAGTAACAAATTCAGTGTTGACATGATGTAAACAGTCTCTGATTAAAAACATACAAATATACAAATAACCGGACAATTCATACCAAATAAATACTACTTGTGTGTGTGACATCCTCTGTTTTGACTCTCACTTTATTTAGAGACTTGAGATGATGAAGGATTTGATTTGCTTAGTTTTGTAGCTCTTTATTTGCTTAGTATTGTTGTTGAACATGTAGCATTTTGTCTGATGAAATGCAGATCGTAAAAAACATCAATTTTATTATTATATACAGGATGATTTTACGTATCGAGCTATATTTGATAAATTAAGGATATTTTATGGAGTGTTTAACTGTAATCAGTATTCTTTCTTTTAATTGAGGGAAGAGATGATAAAGAAAAACACTATGCAAACAATAAACATTTTGAGTTTTTCCAAATACGAATTGAGGGTCTAAGGACTTTGTGTGTCATATGCAGCGTAAACCCCCTTAAGGCAAATTTGTGATATTGGCTCATGCATGAAATTGACTTGACTTAAAAGCCTTAAAAAGCAATAATAAAATAAGGTAAGAATAATTATTGAGTTTGTATATTAATGCATAACATAGAACACCATGGTAATAGACCAAGCTGTCTTCAAACTTCTCACTCACTATTTTCTCGTCAATGTAGCAAAAGTATTAATAATAAAACTAATATAAACACTGTATATAAGTGTAAGAAAATATTGCAGTGACCTCCAAGATCCTATGAACGTTTCACTTTTCCAAACGTTTTTTTTTTACCCGAAATTAAAATGTCTTCAGAGTTCAGATTTTCATCATAATATTAAAAGATTTAATTTACAGGTCTGTGGTTCTAACGTGTTTCTGTTCCTCCTCTAAGTGAGCGTATTTCGCGACACCTATATGTCACTCAGGCTTCCGTACGAGCTCTTGTAGTTCTGACCTCCCACAACTTGGTGGCGCGCTACGCTGTTCAACCAGCACGAGTTCGTGGACTTTTAGCTGTCGCAGTTTTCTAACGTGCGGGTTCACAGACACACAAACAACCCTGCATTCGCACTAGAGTCGTTGTTATCCGTGAACTATTTCTTTTTATTTATTTACAAGAAACAGCCTTGTTGAGTAACAATGGGACGTGAGTCCAGGTATGTCTGAATTATCGAGTTAATTTAAACTCCTGTGACTGCTAAACTTAAGCTAATCCTTGTAATGTTCAATTAGCATGCTAGCTAAAAACGTACAGACGTTAGCACGTAAATAAAACCAACAGTTCATCTTCGTATATCGGCGGAATATATGAATTAAAACGTGTTTTTTACGAGTGTAGTTCACCATCAGCAGTTTATCGGTTGACGTGGTTTATTTTTGTGCTGTTTTGGGTTCCTCAGACACTACAGGAAGCGGTCCGCGTCTCGGGGTCGGTCAGGCAGCCGATCAAAGAGTCGATCACCGGACAAACGATCCAAGAAAGAAGACCGGACCAGGAGGGAGCGCTCGCGGAGCAGGGACCGCCGCAGGTCCCGGTCCAGAGACAGGAAACGAGTCAGGTGGGTTGTTTTTATGTTAACTCGAGATTGTTGAAGAGAAAGACTGCAGCTGTTTAGAGCGTGGAGCTCTGTGTACCTGTCATGTTTGTGTTCAGTCCAGTTTTAAATTGTAAAGGCAAACTCTGTTGTAATAAACAACTAGCAGGGTCTGAATTAGTTTGCATTCGCTCTAAAAGAAATGCAGGCTTTGAGTCATCGTTTGACCAAGTGTGAAAATATTCTTTGAAGTGACAAGCGACCAGAATTTTTCTCCCTCTTGTGTTTTCATGTCACGTGTTTTGCCTTTTGCTGTCCAGGCGCTCCAGGAGCAGAGAGAGGAGGAGGTCCAGAAGCCGAGACAGGAGGAGGTCTGGCAGCAGGAACCGAGCACGGAGGTCCAGGTCTGGGAGCCCCAGCAAGAGCAGGAGGCCGGATGAAAAGTGAGACTTACAATCAAACATCTCAAGACACAACTGACAACTCTGGTAACCAAAATCATGCTACTGTTTTATCTTTATTCTATTGCGTGTCATCTCCCCTACAGGTCCAGGAGCAAAGAGAAGGACAACGTTGATCCTTTATCCGAAAAGAAAAAGATTAAAGAGGAGAAAGAGGATGAGAAGGTTGAGGATGTAAGTACCACATATTCAGTTCTTGCTAACCTCTTAAAAAAAGGAGTAGATGGGAGCAATGTTTCCGATCTTTCTCTCTGTGCCCGTGCAGCAAGACTTTGACCAGAACAAGCTGGAGGAGGAGATGAGGAAGAGGAAGGAGCGCGTGGAGAAGTGGAGGGAAGAGCAGAGGAAGAAGGCCATCGAAAACATCGGAGAGATCAAGAGGGAGCTGGAGGAGATGAAGCAGGGCAAGAAGTGGAGCCTGGAGGATGACGAAGGTGAGAAAGCACCGGCAAATTCTCTTTACTTGCAAAAATGTACCAAAACTACTATTACTTTATTATTTTAACTGTCTTAACATTGATTATTATTTCCCATCACAATTTGATGGGATGTCTTATTGTCGTTTACTTGGTTAGCATCGAGTTTTAGCATTATTTGCATTGTGAAAATGTAAATATAGTTTGATCGGCTAACCGATCACTTGACCAGTAACATACCTTATAATTGACTCCTCATTTCAGACGACGATGAGGACACTTCCGCTCCGATGGAGGGAGACGATGACGAAGACGGAGAAGGGAAGCCGGAGAGTGAAGAGAAGGAGATAAAGGAGGAGAAGAAAGAAGAGGAGGAGGAAGAGGAGGAGGAGGAGGAGGAGGAGGAGAAGGAGAAGGAGAGCGAGATCCCAATAGAGCAAGTGCCAGAGGAGGACGAAGTGGACCCTCTGGACGCCTACATGGAGGAGGTGAAACAGGAGGTGAAGAAGTTCAACATGGGAGCCATGAAAGGAAATGATAAGGTGAGTTTGAGGGGGAAAACGACCACCTTCCATCTGTTCTTATCAGTTTATCTTCTAGTGTTGGACTCGATGTTGTGGATGTTTTTCTTCCTCTGATGACCTGCATGTTTGTTTTTCTCTCTTTAACAGAAAGGAGCAATGATGGTTACCAAAGTGATGACAGTTGTTAAAACCAAGAAAGGACCCAACACTCACAAGAAGAAGGGCGAGCTGATGGAGAACGACCAGGATGCGATGGAAGTGAGTTGTCTTTACCCCAAGCAATACCGCTCTTCTCTCAGTTACCCGTTATACAATATTTCAAATTTCCCGGTGAATTAAACCTGATTTAGACTCATCGGGCCAAAATGACAATATCGTCAAGTTCCTCTCGATGGAACACGCTGCTAACGATCCCAAATATAACCGACGTGTTTTGACAGTACTCGTCAGAGGAGGAGGAGGTGGATCTGCAGACGGCTCTGACGGGCTTTCAGACCAAACAAAGGAAGGTCCTGGAGCCCGTTGACCACGGCAAGATCCAGTACGAGTCGTACCGCAGAAACTTCTACGTGGAGGTCCCTGAGCTCGCCAGGATGACTCCAGAAGGTCAGTCAACCGAATGTGGGAGATTTAGGTTTCAGTCACGATTAGCTCTTATCCCATAACACTCACACACACTAATGATTTGAATAGAAAGGCTGCATCTGTGTTGTACTATTGTGATTTTCGCTGTACACATCCAAATATTTATGAGGCTGATATTCTTTTTATTGTTTTGGCTGAGTATGAAACCTCAATACCTTTCTAAAAGCGAGGGACACAAAACAAAATGTCTTTTGGTTTAATTAAAGGCATTCATTTTTAAAGATCCTATTAGTATTGTTATCAAATGATAAACATTTTCCAAGAGGTTTGGTGTGTTTTTGTGTTTGTAATCCTAATATTTGAACACCAAATTTAAAAAAATGAATACCTACTCACTAAATCACATCACATCTTCATATGATATCCGTTATTAGTGTCAATCAATCAATATAAGGTCTTCTCCCTAATGTGCAACACAAACTGAAACCAAATGGTAGGAAAGACAACAAATTAAAACAAAAAAGTAGCAAAGTAAAGGCGGGCTATCAGCTGCCGTCGCCAATTTAACTTAATTCAATAATTTAGTTTTTACAGCAGATTTATATTCCCCAGAGAAACTTCCATTACTGCCATTCAGAATACGTGTCTTTGTAAACCTTCACTACCCATCTAACGTCTTTCTGCTCGGTCGGTTCTGAATCAACACAGATGTGAACGCGTACAGGCTGGAACTGGAAGGCATTACTGTCAAAGGGAAGGGCTGTCCCAAACCCATCAAGACCTGGGTGCAGTGTGGCGTGTCTATGAAGATCCTCGCCGCTATGAAGAGGTGAGTCTGACCAACGTTGACCGCGGATGTGATGGACTCGGCAACTTTTTGAGGGCAACAAAGATAACCTTTTAAAAAAGAGATGACGCTTGATTCTTTTCTGACCAAACACTTCGTATTCGTGTTCATTTCTTCCTCACAAATGTACCCAGGCACGGCTACGATAAGCCCACCCCGATCCAGGCCCAGGCCATCCCCGCCGTCATGACGGGCCGAGACCTCATCGGCATCGCTAAGACCGGCAGCGGGAAAACCATCGCCTTCCTGCTGCCCATGTTCCGACACATCATGGACCAGAGGCCCCTGGAGGAGTCCGAGGGACCGATCTGTAAGAAATAGATAACTTTATACTTCCTCTAGCCAGCAGTAATATTAACAGACATATTTCCTGTTTTAATTGAGTACATTCAAATAGAAAAATATGAATAAACGAATAAAAAGTGTCATTTGAAGTTGTGACGTCCTACTCTTGTTCTTTTCAAAGACTTGGTTCAAATGTAGGTCAGAGGAAGACTAAAATAGAATCTACTTCCACTGATAATAACCCACTGGCAGTTATTCTTCAACAGCAGTTCTAATCTTCTTTATTGGCCACCGTAACAGTCATTAAAGTCAGTGTTATGCAAATACATGACGTCAAATCTTATTTTAATCATATTGTGGAAACTTAAGTGCTCAAAATGGTAAAAGATGGAAGCCTATTTTCTCTCTTCTCATCCTGATTTTTCTCCCACAGCTGTAATCATGACTCCGACCAGAGAGTTGGCTCTGCAGATCACCAAGGAGTGTAAGAAGTTCTCTAAACAGCTGGGACTCAGGGTGGTGTGTGTTTACGGAGGCACGGGCATCAGCGAACAGGTGAACACACACTGTCTTTTATTTCCCCAAAGGCTTCAATTTACTTGATTTTTCAATCAAAGTCCATTTAACACAGCAGCAAAGTGCACAATAATACCTAACGGTGCAGGACAGTCCTCAATCAAAGATCTAACCAGAAGGACTTAGCAGAACATTATGTTTTCACACAATTGGACATCATGTCCTGTTTGTTCTCCTCCTGCTCACTTATTGGTTCATTATCTGTGCTAAAGAGACACTCCACTCTTAGCCGAAATATTAAACTCGGAGAAGTCAGTCTTATTTTTTTGTTGCTCTCTCTCCTTTACTGAAGATAGTTTTAAAAATCTCTTCAATAATTTCTTTGGCTGTGACCTGAGAGTGGCAAATATGTGTAAGCAAACAATCTTTCTTGCAGAGAGTTAAATGAATAGATCGAGACCCCTCTCATGCCCGGTAAAGTAAAAATGAAGCTAACCTAATTCATAGCTCATAATTCAATTTTGAGCTACAAAGCATCGGTAATATTGATGACAAGAGGTGCCTGCGTAAAACCTGAGCCGCCAGATAGTTTGTTACACGGAACCATCTGAGAAGCCGTCATTGGGGCGGGCACTTTAAAATAATACATGGCAGGTGATTGGATGAACCATCTGTCAAACACTTACAGAGTCAGGAGGAGAAAAAAACGCATCTTTTCCATCGAGAAAAGCCTTTATGTAGCATATGAGGCTACAAACTGTGCAATCCTGTGTTGCACGATGACGATAAACAAACCTTGTAGCTTTAAGTTGATGTTGTTGGCTTACAGATCGCTGAGCTGAAGAGGGGAGCTGAGATCATCGTGTGCACACCGGGAAGAATGATTGACATGTTGGGGGCCAACAGCGGTGAGTTAATCCACTTTGACCCTCTCGCTTCTTCGTTCTTGTAGGGTTTCTATGCGTTGTGGGGCTTTTTTTGTCAGTTACCTTGCATCGAATGAATGTTACAATATGACAAAGTACATAATGAACCCAGTCAGTACCACTTACTAAACTGTTGACATTATTTGACCGCCCTTGGGATCAGTCATTTCTCTGCAAGGCTGTGGTGCATTTCCTGAAGATCGGGGCGAGTACAGGTAGGTGGACCTGGTGCTGCCTCCGTGCTTCTTCAAGCTCCAAGCCTGAGACGATCAAAATGTTTGATAGGCGCACTGAAAAGTGGGTGCATCAGGATGTGTAATTATGTTATATTAAGTAAGAGTAGCCCGAATGCTCAACCGGGGTTCTACAGTATTATTTTAGCGCTCTCATGAAGACATTTAAAATGCACACACGTGCATCTTGATATTCAAAGCACGCATCCCTAATATCTCACCTGTCTCCCTTTATTGTTTTTTAATTTGGAGCTCATGTGGCTTCTGGGAATAAATATGACTGTAGAGCCCTGTACTGTACTGTACTGAGCATTTGCATACAAATGTGAAGAAATACTGGAAATGTGTTGAGAAAGAAGCAGTAGTTGTTTATATTTGCTGACACTTTCGTTGTGTAAATCTGTTATTATAATGTATGGGTTTTTATTGTTTCCACACATGCGAGGTAATCTGTAATATGTTTCCCTTGTAGGTGGGAAGGCGCTTGGTCAGATAATGCTTGATGGGGCGCCATCTCTTGTATTGTATCTTGAGGATGTTTTCTGACTTTTACAGGTCCCTCATTCCCCTGAGATGGTACGAAAGACCAGAGACAACCAAAAAAACACTGTAAAATATAGTTAAATTAAAACCCTGGCCACTTGAAACTAGTCCACAAACGAATGTTATGAAGTAACGATGCCTTGTTTTGTTGTTGAGTAATGTCAAGTAGTCTAATGCCCCGAAAAAGGTTCTCTGTGTTTTGATTCATGTTTGTTTGAAGAAGGCAGAGTGCGTATGAGGACTGGCTCTTCTTGAAGTTAACCGTCTCCTCTCATGCTCCTTCTCCTTTGGTGTGTAGGTCGAGTTACCAACCTGCGCAGAGCTACATATCTGGTGTTGGATGAAGCAGACAGGATGTTCGACATGGGCTTCGAGCCACAGGTGGGTGTCGCCCGGATTTATACGTTACAACTAGGGCTTGTCCTCAACCAAATAAATCTTAAGTCGACTAACATAAGATGGAAGAATGAGTAGACAGAATTCCTTAACCTCCGGTTGTGGTCTGGTTCTTCCACCAGGTGATGCGCATCGTGGACAACGTGCGTCCAGACCGTCAGACGGTCATGTTCTCGGCCACCTTCCCCAGAGCCATGGAGGCGCTGGCTCGTAGGATCCTGGGCAAGCCCATCGAGGTCCAGGTGGGAGGCCGAAGTGTCGTCTGCTCCGATGTGGAACAACACGTGGTAAATCATCCACGTTTCATCTCCGTCTCACTGAAAAATGATTCATGTGCTTTTGCCCGGTATCTACACAGACTCATCTCTCACCGTCTCCTTTCTCCCTTTTTTCTTTTTGCCCTTTGTTTCTGCAGCTGGTGATTGAAGAGGACAAAAAGTTCCTGAAGCTGCTGGAGATCCTGGGTCACTACCAGGAGAAGGGCTCGGTCATCATCTTTGTGGACAAACAGGAGCACGCAGACACACTGCTGAAGGACCTGATGAAGGCCTCGTACCCCTGCATGTCACTGCACGGAGGTATGGAACCACATTTAAGATGCACCGATTACAACTCGGTGATAGTTGGATTTTGCTACAATTCGAATGTCCTTAAGTAATCCAGAATTCCAGGTTTGTTAAGATAGACTCCACAGAAATGACAACATTAACATTTTAACGTGAGGAGTTAAGAAAAAGCTTGTAAAGACAGCTAGATTATCTGCTGGAGCAGCAGCTGAATCCGAAACAATTGATTCCTGAGCTCGATAAGATTATCTTAAAGGAGTATACAAAACAAAAATAAGAAATACATCAGGTATTTTGGGGGTATGGTTTTATGTCGTTTAATCACATTCACCAAATCACATCACGCTCTAAAATAGAATATAAGATGAACTGCAATCAAATATGAAATTTTGCAACTTAATATTGTGATATTAAAAAGTATGTACACTATATAGATGTAATATATATTCCACTTTCAGGTCAGTTTGTCTCACATAGCGTCATTGGCGATAAATGTCTATCAACAGCTCTGATTCCTGCCGTACCGTAACTCGTGTCTAGTATTTGGTCTTTTAATATTCCTTTTACTGCCGTCCTCCTAGGAATCGACCAGTACGACAGAGACAGCGTCATAAACGACTTTAAGAATGGAGCATGTCGTCTGATGGTGGCCACCTCCGTGGCAGCCAGAGGGCTGGACGTCAAGCAGCTGATCCTGGTGGTCAACTACAACTGTCCCAACCACTACGAGGACTACGTCCACAGGGCCGGACGCACAGGCCGAGCAGGCAACAAGGTCACTTACTTAAAACTGAATTTGTGTTGTGTCGAGTGTTTTCTTGGTGCTTGTTTTTGTATAAAATAGACTTGTTAGCTCTCAGTCAAAAGTTTTAAAATGTCTTGTTCCTTCTTCTAGGGCTTCGCCTACACCTTCATCACGGACGATCAGGTTCGCTATGCTGGAGATATCATCAAAGCTTTGGAGCTGTCCGGCTCTCCTGTCCCGCCTGAACTGGAGCAGCTTTGGGCCTCCTTCAAAGACCAACAGAAAGCGGTGAGATGATAATAATAATAATAATAATAATAATACATTTTATTTATATAGCGCTTTTCATTAAACTCAAAGACACTTTACATTAAAATCATCATATATAAAAGCAATACACTAAAAACATAAAATACACAATAGTGGTCACACATTAAAAGCAGTTTTGAACAGGTGGGTTTTGATTTGAGATTTGAATGTGCAAAGGTCAGTGCAGTCTCGGATGTGTTTGGGGAGAGAGATGAGGGGAAAACCGGGGAGAGTGTGTCGTGTCTCAATTAGCAAGTAAACCCAATTAGGTACTCTAGAAAATGAGTGTACCGCTTTAAAAAAATGTGCGAATTAAATGTATTTTTTATTTTTCTTTTTTTATTTTTATTTTTCTCCCTACAGGAGGGTAAGACCATTAAGAGCAGCAGCGGATTCTCAGGGAAAGGCTTCAAGTTTGACGAGACCGAACATCATTTGGCCAATGAGAGAAAGAAGTTGCAGAAAGCTGCTCTTGGACTGCAGGACTCTGACGACGAGGACGGAGCCCTGGATGCGAGTAACATTTGATAACAAATATGTTGACGTCACTTCTTACATGCTCTTACCGTAATGCCTTGTACATATTTGTAGCCCAAAACAATGTGGGGGCCAGTTTTGAAAGTCTTTTTCAAAAGTGGAGGCTGGCATCTCCCACACACAAGCACCTCATACATCACGCGCACTCGCCCACTTCTTTTTGTGTCTGTGAGAGAGCAAGGAAGTAAAATGCCAAAGCGAGTCTCATGCCGTACTTTTCTGTTACCTTCCTCAGATCGAGGAGCAAATCGAGAGCATGTTCAACTCCAAGAAGAGGGTGAAGGATCTGTCCGCTCCCGGATCGTCCTCCGGTCCTGCTGGAGCATCCGCCTCCTCATCAGCGGTCCCCGGAGGGATGCCAGGCGTCGGACCCCCATCTGCTGGAAACATCCAGAAACTGGAGATGGCCAAGAGGCTGGCGCTCAAGATCAACGCTCAGAAGAACCTGGGCGCCGAGGCTCAGGTACGTTAAACAGAGAGGAAAATGTTACGTCTGTAAATCATCACTTATTGTAATTAATTAATCGAATAATACCTCAAGTTCTTAGATATTCCTCTTACTTTCTTCATTTTCTACCATTCATTTTGTATTCTTTATGGCAGGACGTGATGCAGCAGGCCACCAACGCCATCCTCCGGGGCGGCACCATCATGACGCCCTCGGTGTCGGCGAAGACCATCGCGGAGCAGCTGGCGGAGAAGATCAACGCCAAGCTGAACTACACCCCCGTGGAGAAGCTGGAGGAGGAGCGGCAGGCGGCTGAACAGGCCGAGACCGTCAAGAGATACGAGGAGGAGCTGGAGATCAACGACTTCCCTCAGGTCAGTGACGCAACGATATGCAGCAGATTCTTGTTTTAATTTAACTATAATATCTTTAGTATAACTAATCTGAATCCACATTTGATTAACAAAAGTGGCAACACAAGCAAAGAACCTCACAGCCATCATCAGACGGGTGTAAATAATGAAGTCTTACAAAGTGTTTCATCATTTGGTTCCTCCCCAGACGGCCAGGTGGAAGGTGACTTCTAAAGAAGCTCTGCAGAGGATCGGTGAATACTCTGAAGCCGCCATCACCATCAGAGGAACCTATTTCCCTCCAGGCAAAGAGCCCAAGGAGGGAGAACGCAAGATCTACCTGGCTATTGAAAGTAGGTGTCGCGAAATTATTTTTGTGTTAACTTTGAGATTTTACTCATTCAAAATGCGACTCCCACTCTTTCTTTTATCATCTTTTTAAACTACCTCTGGGCTCTAAATTCACTCCTATTTTCGTGTGTTTGCTAGAACTTTAAATACTGTTTTATAAATGTTGTGCTTGTTTTTTTAGGTGCAAATGAACTAGCTGTGCAGAAAGCCAAAACGGAGATTACGCGGTTAATCAAGGAAGAGCTCATCAGATTAGTAAGTACCTTCTTCCTCTTGAAATCAATAACCAGTACTGGATCTCATGCAGATATCTATTTTAGAGCAGGATACATAAGACATCGCAGGTTGTTATTCAGCAAATGTCTATAAAAGATGTCGCTTATTGTCTCTCTTTGTTTTTTTCCAGCAAAATTCGTACCAGCCGACGAGCAAAGGCCGTTACAAAGTCTTGTAGAGGCGGAACAAAGACTCGCTGGAGGAGTTTTCCTCTCTCAACGGTCCCCTGTCATCTCTACAGTTTCATCAAAGTGGTTGAGGAATATTTTAGTCTATATTTTTAATAATGTTCCATCCAATTACCTCAGTTTAGCGTCTGGTTTTGTTTATATTCGTCATCCTTTCCCCCCTTACTTTCCTCTGTGCTTCACTTGAGTTACCTTCATTTTTATACCTACAGACTATAAATACCAAAATGTCTGATGCAGTTTTGACCTCCGATGTCAATGAACCATCACTATCTGCAATATGTCTTTTAAATGTAAGACACAATTTCTTTTCATTGGGTTTTTTTGGTCAGATTTCACCCTGTTGTATGTACAAGCAACATCCCAGCCATAGTCTTTATGAGGAAATAGTCAGATGAAAGATGTTTTTACTTTTCCGCACAATAAAATAATGAATGAATAAGTTTGTCCTGCTGTTTTATTCAACAAATCTGGTGGATACTGTTTACTCGTATGTTAGAATGCCATCTAATTTAAAAAAAATATATATATATATATATATATTTTACACATACGTACACACACACAGGGTTTTTTTGTGTTAAAAACATGTTTTTCAGGTCAATTTTGTTTCCTAATTTTACATTAATTTCCCATCTCTTTATTACCTCCATTTGTATTGAAATGTTTGAGGCTCGGTTGTCTGACGGATTCAGACCAAAGCAACGGCACAAGAATTAACTAGCTAGCGCCCCCCTTTTGGCCTCTCCGCTAATTGAAGGTCCGCTCTGCTGCCAGCGAACTTGTCTGCTAGAGGTGGGATGTGACCCTTCAGTTGGCGGCTTGTAGCGACTCAAATTAAAGATCAAAGCTAACTTTCTTTTGCTGCAGTCACACATGTTGGACGCGGCGCTGCCACTGGCTAGCTGGCTGGCTGGCTAGCTGGCTGGCTGGCTGGCTGGCTGGCTGGCTGGCTGGCTGGCTGGCTGGCTGGCTGGCTGGCTGGCTGGCTAGCTGGCTGGCTGGCTAGGGCCTCCCTGTGGTCCCTCCGCTAACTGAAGGTCCATCTCCATAGCTGCTGTCCACTTTCCTCTAGGCAAAGTAGTTCCCTAGCTGTGGCGGAGCGCTAGCTAGCTAATTCTTCTCTCATTTGTGGTCTGATAAACAGTAAATTCCCCTAATCCAGTGCCCCGTATCGCTATTGTCCGAGCTACTGTAGCCGTCATTGCGTTGAGTTGCTACAGCCGCTAACTGAGGGATCACTCCTGGCGCTAGTAGACTTTTGTTTTCTGTTTTTACCATATAAAGTGCCCTTTAGTACCTTTTTTAAAGTGCTATACAAAATAAATATACTATTTAATTATTATAAATGTATTACTACTAGCTCGCTGGGAGGAGAGCGGGCTGAGGGACCACAGGGGGCGCTAGCTAATTCTTGTTCTGTTGCTTTGGTCTGAATTGGTGAGACAAAATCAGCCCCATACATTCATATGAATATAACAGATGGGAATAAAAAGAAGTGGGAAATAAAATAAATGTTATTTTTTTTAAATAGACCTTTAAATATAAACTTCCTTTCTAAAATATAAACCTATTCCTCTTTTTAAAGAACTATTGACTCATTTATATATTTACATATATTTATATATATGCCTCATTAAATCAGGATTTATTTCATATGCGTATTTGTATTTATTTATTTAATATGGTATTCAATATATTCCTGCCTACAGTTTTAATTATTCAGTAGCCTCTCCTTTGTATGTTATTCATCATCGTTGGAGGGCTCTTTTTGGTAAGCGTTGTATAACTGGTTTAAGGCTTGATTTCAGGACAACACAACATTTTAAACAATAATTTTGCACCTGTATTGAATGCAAATAAACAATGTTGTGTATTTAAAAGTGAAAACGTTTCGATATGGAAGTGGTTCAGGAGGGGAAGGAGAAAAAAAACAACCTCCAATGATGCTCTGCGCATGCTCAGACTGCGCTCCAGTCTTATTCAATTTTAATGGAAAATGGCTGCGTTTCTCATCCAAACCTCTGGAGCTGGGAAATAACACACACACACACACAAAAACCCCACGTCTAAACCGTTAACGTGCACACCGAAGCAAACCCGATGTACCGACGACCTGTGGTGCGAAAAAATATTTTTGGGAAAATGGATCGACTCACGCTTTAAGGGATGAAAGATCATTTTTAACCCTTTCTGGACCGAGATCTGCGAACAATCGAGGTACAGTAAACCATAGAGCTAATGTTGGTGTATTTAGGTTAATATATATATATATGTATATGTCCTAAATGTAAGCATGCATGTCGGATATCTGCTCACTTTCCTTCTCTTTTGTTACTATTTCAAACCCTTTTCCTGGAAACCGTTATTCGGGCCAAAACGAGGCTGTAACGTTACACTGTAGCAAAGTGACATGCAGGGGATTTGGGAAGGGGTGGGGGGGGGGCTTTTGTCGTCAAAAATGCGGAATCCATGTCCATTATTTTTTTTGTGAATGAATATTACTACAAACTGTGTTGTGTTTGTGATAGTAAATAAAAGTCCACACCTACAGAAGACAACAACAACAACAAAAAATCTCATCAGCAGCACTCAAGTTTTTATTTATAGCCTCATAATTAAGTTGTGATTGTATTGCTGGAATTTAAAGAGCAGTTATGTGTGTAAGCGGTCAGAATAGTGACTTTGATTGTGATTACAGGGGTTGTTGTGTGTGATCCAAGTAATAAAACCCAACACAACGAGGTCAGAGGTCAGCTGCAGACCATCAGCATGTTGCTCATGGGCACTTCAGCATCACTTTACTGAGGTTTATACTTGTTCGCAAGGTGTTTAACCCAGGCCCCTTTTCTTAATCTCCGTAATCATTATCACTATAATACAATATATACAGCGGGGTAGTTTAACAGACATGTTTTAAAGGTTCAGACACTCCGACACAGAAAATAAATCAGCACAACACAACAAAAGTGGAAGATTAAAGCATCTTCACGATACAGGGACACGGCAAGCATCGATAAAGTTACAAGAACTGGATTCACAATTGCTTTGACTCTTTTTCGACGCCAAGAGTCATCAGTTAACAAGACGCGCAAATTCCATCTCATTCTTAGTCTCCATCCTTGAGGTCTTTTCTCTTGTAAAACCGAAAAACACAGCTTCAGAACACTTCAGACCTGCAGAAATCTCACCGTTATTTGTCGCTTGTTGATGGGTTTTTGCGAGAGGCTCATTGTTGCCCATAGTGGCTGTTGGCTGTTATGGCCTGAGTCTTTAGTCAAGTTAACGTAAACCACGCTCTTTTCCTAAAACTAAGTGGTTTTGTTGCCTAAACCTAACGTCCTGTAAAGTTTAATTTGCAAAGACCCTGCGCGACGAGTTGTAACGAGTTGAAACTCGATGCTATTGGGGTACGTAGAGCGTCACAGTTTGAAGCGTAGGGCCACTGACCAAGCGTCGGTATTTGACGAACACACAAAGTCGAGATTTATGCTTCATGAGAAGTGTTTTTAAAAGTGTATTATTAGGTTTTTCAAGAGAAAAGACTTCAATGATAAAGACTACCAAGTTGGTTTGGCAAAAAACACGGAGGTCAGCTCTAGGCTTTCTTCAGACTAGGTCTTAGTTTAGCCTCAAAGCTAAGAAACATGAGCGTCTGAAGCCCTAAATGTGTCCGGGTATCTTTTCTATATGCGGAGGAATTGAAACTGTTTTGGTGTTTGTCTTCAGTGTAAACTTTCCACCTGGCATTGTGATAGCCAGACAACATTACTGACTCAACATAGAGACATAAGTTATTTTTATCTGTGATAATAACACAGTTGCAACTTATTTCCGACCCCCCAGCAGAAGATGATGCGCCAGGTGACAAGCAGCGACTTCTGCATGAACAGCAGGCCGTCGTGCCTCGCGGAGGACGTCCACCACCCGGCCTCCCACTTTGACCTGTGCACCCAGGCCAACAAGTTCTACCCTCCTCCGCCTCCGTCCGCCCTCCAGATGACGCTGGCTCCCATGGTCTTACCCGCCCAGAGCCACAAGCCCATGGTGTGCCAGAGACAGGAAGTGCTCGTGGGCTCGCCCGGAAAAATCCCTGACATCAAAAGCACCAATCAGGCGCCGGACGACGGCAAGAAGAAGAACAAGGCCGCCGGGAAGTCGGGCCGACGCGGGAGGCCTTTGGGGACCACCAAGCTGGCTGGGTACAGGACCAGCACGGGGCGACCGCTCGGCACCACCAGAGCTGCCGGGTTCAAGACGAGCCCGGGGAGGCCGCTGGGTACGACCAGAGCGGCGGGATACAAGGTCAGCCCGGGACGGCCCCCCGGCAGCATCAAGGGCCTCTCTCGTCTCAACAAACTGGCTTATGGTAGCACCTGCAGCGGAGCGGCTTTCCCCTATCCGCTACCACACAAGGAAATCCTCTGTGAACCCTCCTGCAAAGAGAAGACGGCTAATGAGTGAAGGTTTCCACTCGCCTTCCGTCAGTTGGATAAGAGACGCATGTGCACAGTTTTCCTGCCAGATACTGGGTGGGTGGTGGTGGTGGTGGTGGGGGGTGGGGGG